TACACCCCGGCTCAGTTACTGGTGCCTCCTGGGACTGGGGAGGCACCCAGGGTCCCCCGGTGGCTGATTGCCAAGGGGGAGGCACAGTGCGCTCCCTGGTGGACCTGGAAGTGGGCTGGAAGTACTGCCAGTCCACTTCTGGGTTCACCGCCAAGTATGTGGTGGGCCCCCTGTGCTCCTGTGGGATGCTCCATCCACTCCAGTATTGCAACGTTTGCAAGCCGCGCTGGTACCTCGAACTGGTACCTGTGTCTATGTCTGAATCACTGATTCACTGTATCAGCAGCAATTCTTCAGATTCGGATTCAGCCAAATTGCATCAGGGACAGTGATATGAGTTAATGAATTGAATCACTGTCCTTGATTCGGGCCGACTCTGAATCGAATACAGCCTGCTTTGCACATCCCTACTAAGTACCCTCTGCTGGCCTCAGAGATAGTCCTGTATCCAGCGTTCAGCATCGTAATGCTGAAACCCATGTTAGAACTTCAAAACCCAGGTGTCAATTTACAAACGTCATAACTGCGATTTGTCATAACTCGAATCGTCATAAGTCGAGGACTGCCTGTATTAACAAATAGGAAAGCGCTGCTTCTTCCTATACTCATTATTGGCTACATTCACAACTTGGCTGTTAAAAAACTCAGGAATGGTAACTAGAGAAGAGCAAAATGAAAGAATCACTTCATGAAAAAAAATAATAGAGATTTCAACTCATCACAAGGTGAGCCCTTATTTTTGTGACCATTTTGGTACAGACACTACTCACCGGCTCCTCTGCCCACCCCCAAACTACCAGAAGTGATTAGTGGTTAATTGTGTGGCAAGTTTAATTTTAAAAATATTAAGTCCATTAATCTGTTTATAAGCACCAGTATCTTCAAGTAAGTGGAACGCACGTGAAGTGTTTTATGGCATGAAATCCTTGCACAGCACACTGCGCCTCGCTTCCTCTCCTGTGAAACTCTAACCTACAGCTACCAGAGAAAAAGGGTTTATAAAAGGCATTATTACAGTCTAGCCATTGAACCCAAGAAAACCACATCCTTCTGAGCATTGCTTGCTCCTTACCCACTGTTTAATTAGTAAATACAGTATATGTCTGTCTGGCATTATGCTGCTGCTTGATTTCAGGAAGAAAGAGTAGGAGTCAGGTTGAAGACTTTGCTACTCCCAATACATGAGACACAACCCGGGGTGTCCAAAAGGGTAAGAATTAAACTGGATTCCCAAGTCAATTACTGACTTTGGCTTGTCTCTCCCTGGGTTTTTCCACCAGGAGCCAAGGGTGCCAGCAGACAGCAGCAACTCTGAAAACTAGGGGCTTCATTTATATAATGACTTGAACAAGGAATTCTTTTTGAGTTAGGATTAAAGATGGAAACCCTTCTTGGGCCACCCCACATTATGACTCTGTGGCACCAATGGACTCCTTTGGACATCCCTGACCAGAGCTGGCCCAGCCCAATGCATGGTTTGGCCCTGCTAGGATAGGATGTCAATTGACAGCTCCCCCAGCCACGATACCAAGGATATGGGTTTGAGTAAGGAACTGGATCTTGGACTCAGAATATGGTTGGAAATCTGTTTTGGGCGACCTCACAGAATGTCCCGGTGGCACCAGGGGACTCTCCTGGTCATCTCTGACCAGAGTCCTGCCTGGCCCAAGACATGGTTTGGCTGTGCCAGGCTACCAACTGACAGCATACCCTCCACCCCCCAACACTGTACTGTACTAAGTATATGGGCCTAAATAAGGAATTGGGTTTTGGGCTGGGTTGATGACAGGAAATCCTCTTTGGGCCACCCCACACTATGCCTCTCTGCTACCGGGCACTCTCCCAGATACCCCTGACAAGTGTCTTGCCTGGCCCAAAGTGCGTTTTTTGTGTGCTAGACTGCCGGCTACCCATGCCCACTGTACTAAATATATGGGTTTGAATTAGGAACTGATTTCTGGGCTGGGACTAGAGATGGAAATCCTTCTTGGACCAACCCGCACCATGAGTCTGTGGCACTGGGGGACTCTCCGGGACACCCCTGACCAGAGTCTTGCTCGGCCTAGAACGTGGTTTCTTCATGCCAGGCTGCTACCTGACAGCCGCCCATACCCACTGCACTAAGTATGTGAGCTTGAATAAGGAATTTCTTTTGGACTGCAGGTGGTAGAGTCCCTGGAGTTTTAAGTTACTTTACCAAGTTGCTGAGTGGCAGCTGGAGGTAAATGTAAAAAGATGTTGAAAAATCCCTAGGGGCCTCTATATACATGCTCCAGGGCTGTAGAGAGGAGTGCTTTAAACAGAATGGCTCTGAGAGCCACTCTAATTAAACTGCCCACAACGTCACATGTATTCACCGTCTCATGCTTCAAAATGTCAGTGGGAGCACTTTAACAAACCTTGTTGGAAGAATTTTAGTTAAAGCACTGCCACTGCCATTTTGAAACACAGGGACAGTGAATACACACGATGCAGAGGCTGCTGGAGTTGCACTATTTAGCACACTTCAGCAGACTGGCAGGAAACTCAATGAATCGAGTCTGCTCTCACATGTGATAAATACCATGCATTGGAGCAGAGGTCCGTCAAGTATACCAGTGCCCTATATTTGCATGCAGCCATTCGTCCTACCATCCAGTGCCTGGTGGAAGAACAACATACAGGTCTTAAAAGCTAGGCATCAGCTGGCAAGAGGAATGGCATGGAGTGGACCAAGCAGGATTTCCAGACATAATCCAAGCCCAAAAACCAGTTCCTTATTTGAGCCATTATACTTAGCACAGTGGGCATGGGAGGTTGTCACTTGGCAGGCTGACACAAAGAAACTGCATTTTGGGCCAGGCAAGACTCTGGTCAGGTATGTGCAGGAGCCTGATGCCACAAAGCCATGGTATGGGGTGGCGCACAATTGATTTCCAGCCATAATCCCAGTCCAAAAGCCAATTCCTTATTCGAGCCCATATACTTAGTACAGTGTCTGGGGGACCCATCAGGTGGATACATGGCATGAACAAACTGTGCTTTCTGGGCAGGACCATGGTCAGAGATGTCTGGGAGTGGCCCAAGAAGGATTTGGAGCCAAAATCCCAGATCAAAAAACCAGTTCCTTATTCAAGCCATTATACTTAGAACAATGGCTGGGGGACTGTCAGTTGGCAGCCTGGCACGGCCAAACCGTGCTTTGGGCCCAGCATGTCTCTGGCCAGAGATGTCCAGGTGTCACCTGGTGCTACAGAGGCATGGTGTTGGGTGACCGAAAAAAGATTTCCAACCATAAGCCCAGCCAAAACTAGTTCCTTACTCGAGCCATTATATGTAGTACAGTGGGCATAGTGGGGGTGTTACTTGGCAACCTGGTACAGCCAAGCTGCGCTTTGGGCTGGGCAAGACAGTTTAGTAGTGTCCAGAAGAGTCCTCCAGTGCCACAGAGGCATCGTGTGGGGTGGCCTAAGAAGGATTTCCAGCCTAAAACCAGTTCTTTATTCAAGCCATTATACTTGACACCCTGGCGCAGCCAAACCACATTCTGGGTTGGGCAAGTCTCTGGTCACAGATGTGCAGAGTTCCCCAGTGGCAAATAAGTATGCCCTGGCTTGGCCCAAGAAGGATTTCTAGCTACAATCCCAGCCCAAAAGCCAGTTCCTTATTCAAGCCTATACACTTAGTACAGTGGGAATGGGGAGCTGTCAGTTGGCAGCCTGGCCCAGCCAAGCTGAGTTTTGGACCAGGCAAATCTCTGGTCAGAGATGTCTAGGAGAGTCCCCCAGCAACACAGGTGCGCCATGGGTTAGCCCAAGATGGATTTCTGGCTATAATCCCAGCCCAAAAAAACACTTTGTAATTCAAACCCATATACTTAGTACAGTGGCTGGGAGGGTAGTCAGCTGGCAGCTTGCCACAGGCAGCCCGTGCCTCAGGCTGGGCAGGGCTGTGGTCAGGGTTTGGGACAGTCCCACAGTGGCATCGACAGGAAATTTGGGGTGGCCCTAGAAGTATTTTCCCCATAATCCCATTTTAATCTGCCCTTCACTTAGGACTCTGGCCCAAAGTGTGTCAGGATATTATTTTGTATATTAATTAGTACATATGCATAGCTAATGAAAGTATCTCGGTTTAGGATGTGCAATTCATTAACAACAAGCTTTTATCAGTCTAGATTAGCTTTGAAAAAGAAACCAGGAACTGGGAATGAGCAACCAACTTCAGCCTCATCCCCTGGGCTCTACCGTGCCAGCTACCACCCACAGCCCCCACCCTCACAAGACCCTGCCAAGTCCCTCAGCCCCAAACCAAACTCCCCACTCCACTCTGGGCTCTGGTGGTGCCGGACCCCCCCAGCTGCAGGGGCAGCTCCGGCTCGTGCGGGTCGGGGTGGAGCAAGGCCAACCACCGCGCGGCCTGGAAGGTGGGGGAGGAGAGGCCTGTACACCCCCCGCCATGAGCAGTTTCTCCCCGCCAGCCCTGCTGCAGCCCCGTCCCCACCCCGCCCCGCCCCCGGCTGGGGCCCCAGACAGTCCAGACCCTGCACCTTCCGGCTGACCTGCACCCACATGCTCGGCCGGGGCGCCTCCCACACCCTGCCAGTGCCGGGATGTCCCCGTGCGCGCGCAGACAAACATGGTGACACACCCCTCCCCGCCCGGGGAAGAGGCACAGCAGCTTCCGCGTTTTTCCGCGATAAACTGAAATTCCGGATCCTGCTGTGAACTCCGCTCCGAACTGCGGACGCGCCCCGCTCGGCCTTCTGGGAGCTGTAGTTCAACCTAGCGGCGGCCATGTTAAAAGCGGAGCTGGGGAGGAAATCCCGGACATTTTGCCTGTACTTAAAAAACCCGGCCGGACGCAGCTGAAGTCTCCAAAAAGAGGCCATGTGCGGGAAACCCAGACGCACAGTAACGCCTCCCACAACAGCTTCAGTTTAATCGCTACTCGCACTTCCGCGTCGCGGTGTAATGACGTATCAGGAGTTGGCGTGGCGGGCGCTTCCGCTTCCGGCGACGCGGTTGCCTAGGTAGCGATGGCGATGGCGATGGCAATGCCGGCGCCGATCGCGGACGGGGAGTACACGGCCGTCATCTACGGACTGATCCGGGCCGGGCGCTACACGACGGCGGCGGCGATCCTGAGCAGCGAGCTGCAGCGGAGCTGCCGCTCCCGGGCCGGCCTCTCGCTCCTCGGCTACTGCTACTACCAGCTGCAGGACTTCGCGGCCGCGGCCGAGTGCTACGAGCAGCTGGTGGCGCTGCACCCGGAGCTGGACGAGTACCGGCTCTACCAGGCCCAAGCCCTCTACAAGGCCGGGCTCTACGGCGAGGCCCTGCGGGCCACCAGCCCCCTGCTGGACGTGCCTGCCTACCAGGGCCGTGCTCTTCGTCTCCAGGCTGCCACCCACTATGCCCAGGGCGATCTCCAGGCAGCCAAGAGCCTGGTGGAGCAGGTGCTCACGGCTGCAGCTGAGGGGGCGGCAGGGGGCTCCGACGGGTCGTGGGAGGTGCCTGAGGCAGAGGTGAACCTGGGCTGCCTGCTGTACCGTGAGGGGCGGCATGAGGAGGCCTGCAGCAAATTTGCTGGTGCCATGCAAGTGCTCGGCTATTCCCCAGAGCTGTCCTACAACATGGCCCTGTGTTGCTACGCTGCCAAGCAGTACGACCTTGCTGTGAAGCACATTTCCGAGATCATTGAGCGAGGCATGCGCCAGCACCCAGAGCTCAGCATTGGCATGACCACTGAGGGCATTGACGTCCGCAGCGTTGGCAACACCCTGCTCCTGCACCGCACTGCTCTGGTGGAAGCCTTCAACCTCAAGGCAGCCATTGAGTACCAGTTGCGCCACCTGGAGGCAGCCCAGGAGGCACTAACGGACATGCCGCCGAGAGCCGAGAAGGAGCTGGACCCCGTTACGCTGCACAACCAGGCGCTGATGAACATGGACAGCCGGCCCACTGAAGGGTTTGAAAAATTGCAGTTCCTTCTGCAGCAGAACCCCTGCCCACCAGAGACCTTTGGAAACCTGCTACTGCTGTACTGCAAGCACCAGTACTATGACCTAGCTGCTGACGTGTTGGCAGAGAATGCTCATCTGACCTATAAACTGCTCACGCCTTATCTGTACAACTTCTTGGATGCCATGATTACATGTCAGACTGCCCCTGAGGAGGCCTTCCACAAACTAGATGAGCTGGCAGGGACACTGACTGAGCAGCTGAGAAATCTCGCAAAACAAGGGCAGGAAGCTAGGCAAAACCGGGATGCTGAAGCTATCAACAAGTCAGTTAGCGAATATGATGAGACTCTGGAAAAATATGTGCCTGTCTTGATGGCTCAGGCCAAGATCTACTGGGACATGGAGAATTATACAATGGTGGAGAAGATTTTCCGCAAGTCAGTAGAGTTCTGCAATGAACATGAAGTGTGGAAGCTGAATGTGGCTCACGTGCTTTTCATGCAGGAAAACAAATACAAAGAAGCCATTGGCTTCTATGAGCCCATTGTGAAGAAGCACTATGATAACATACTGCAAGTCAGTGCTATTGTGCTAGCCAACCTTTGTGTCTCCTATATCATGACAAGCCAAAATGAAGAGGCAGAGGAACTGATGAGGAAGATTGAAAAGGAGGAGGAGCAGCTTTCCTATGATGACCCTGATAGAAAGATCTACCATCTCTGCATTGTCAACTTAGTCATTGGAACGCTTTACTGTGCCAAAGGAAATTACGACTTTGGCATCTCACGGGTAATTAAAAGTTTAGAGCCTTATAACAAAAAGTTAGGTACAGACACCTGGTATTATGCCAAAAGGTGCTTCCTATCATTGCTGGAGAACATGTCTAAACAGATGATCATGCTGCGTGACAATGTTATTCAAGAGTGCATCCAGTTTCTAGAGCAGTGTGAACTCTATGGCAGGAACATCCCAGCTGTTATTGAGCAACCCCTTGAAGAAGAGAGGCTGCACAGTGGAAAGAACACAGTTACATATGAAGCCAGACACCTGAGGGCACTGATGTATGAGGTGATTGGGTGGAATATGTAAATGATGTTGGAATATAATCTGGACAGGGCTTTGAATCTTCAGTTTTGTTCTTTAGTTGATACAGACTTTGGCTCTCTAGAGCAGTATGTTTTCTCTTTGATCCACCATATTTAAATATTTTTGTCCTGCTGTTTTGCTGTATTAAATGGAAATAGAGTATTAACAGAAAATGTAATGTGATGGCTAAAGTTATTCTCAGTGGGCGTGTCTACATATACCTCTTTTAAACAGGATTAGTCTAACAGTTGCCATTTTTAAGGTGTATGTCCACACGTGTGCGCCCTTAACGCACCTTAAAAATGTCGATTTTAGGCTAATCGTGCCTAAAGCTGACACCTGCATAAAGCAAGTAAGACATTTAGGTGCAAATAGTTGAGTCACATCAGCCCACATGTGTAGACTCTTAATGCGCATTAATGCAGTGGATGCACACCGTGTTACCGCAAATTAGCACATCTGCACATGGGCTAATACAACGTAGCTATTCATGCCTAAATTTAATGTGCCTTAATGCGCATTAGCATGTCCATGTATAGACGCACACCTAAATTGCCTTAATGCGTCTTAAGCAAAGGCACATTAAATTTAGGAACACGTAAATATACATGTAGACATGCCCAGTCATTAGTGTATTGATTTACCACTGTGTATAGTGTGTTGACTTAAGATCTGACTATTAAGAACTCCACAGAAATCTGTGGATTTTCTACTGTGTGAGTAGTTCATTGTTTTGAAGCTATGTTAACTGTATGTTGTCACTTTGAAATAAGGTTTCATTCTTCTCTTCCCAGTTTCCCTCTTCTGAGAAATGCTTTCTTGCCTTTTTATTTTTCTATTGAGCTTTTAATATTTTTAAGCCATGTTGGTTATATTTTCTACATATAGAAATTATAGTAAAAACAGAACAACAAAAATGAATGCTGTAATGCAGTGCTGCTCAACCTTTTCCCCAGCAGGGCCCATGGGCCGTGCCTAGTCTAACTGCGGCTGAATAGTAGTTCCAGTCCAGTGCCCAGAGCGGGTGTGGTAGGCACCTTCTGGCCATGCAGGGGAGTGGAGGGCAACCTGACATGAGCCCTGCCTGACAGAGGGAAAAGGGACTTTACCCAGCCCCATGATCAAGAGGTGGGGATTAGCCTGGGAGCAGGGGTGAAGGGAACATGGTTTGGCCCTGCAGGGGGGAGGGGAAGTGGTTTGAGCACCACTCAGCCCTGTGGGGAGGGTTAGGGGGCCCAGCTTGGCTGCAGTCCAGCGCTGTGGGGGGGAATGGGGCATGTCAGTTCCCAGGGCCAGTGTAGTGGGCACCATCTGGCCACACAGAGGGGAGCGGAGGGAAGCCTGGCCTGAGTCCTGCCCCGCAGTGGGTAAAGGGCCTTTACTTGGCCTCATGGGGGTTGGGAATGGGACGTGACCTGGCCTGGAAGGGGGGATAAAGGGGACAAGGCTTGGCCTTGCAAGGCAGGGGGAGGGGGCATGGCTTAAGCAGAACTCAGCCCTGGAGGCAGGGAGGAGTAAAGGGGGCCCAGCCTGACCCCAATCCAGCCCTGTGGGGGGAAGAGGGCATGACCTTCCTCTGATCAAGCATTCAGGGCTTGGGGTTTGGGAATTTGGCTGGGGAGAGTATGGCCATATTAATGGCCATTACTTCCCCCACCGCCCAACTTCCCAGCCCATGGGGAGCCCCACAAACCAGGTGTGATGGCTCTATGGGCTGCCTTTGGCCTGCGGGGTGGAGATTGAGTACCTGCTGCTTTAGTGCTTGAGCAAGTCACGGGTCTAATTCAGAAGCTGAGATGGCAGGGAGCTGAGTAAAACAGCAAAGAAATGGGAGCTTCCTGTGCTTTTCTTTGTCCAATGAGAGATGAAAGAAGGCTGTAGTCCTCTTGATTCTATGGTTTATAATGGCTTATTGCATGGTGGGAGGAGTATTGCTGCACATTTTAATATAAAATGAGCTGTGAGATTGCTCAGTCCTCACTACTTAGAAGCTTACCTTCAGAGCTCTCTAGTTGGGTCACTGCTGTTACATCCTTGCCAACAAGAACTGTTAGGTATAGCATACAACCAGCCTTACACTGGTCTAGGGACTCCCTTTCCACTATTAATGCTCAAAATAGCATCTCTTACCTTGTTTGGCACTGGGTATTTGCTCTGTGAGCAATCCTTCTCTCCATCTGCTACCAATACCACTCTCAGGATTTACCAGCCTCTAGTAAAGGGACTATGTGAATAGGTAAATAGACCAGGATCTGCACTGTTCAAAAGTACATGATTCCAACCTCATGCAAGATTTATAGCTCCTAAGGAAATAAGAAATACCATACTGTGTCAGACCACAAGTCCATTGAACCCAGTATCCTGTGTCTGAAAGTGACACAGACGGATGCTAAGGAAGACAGTATTTAATTAGGGGCTGTCCAAACTGATCTGTGCTCTACTCCTCTTCTCTTACAGCTTACAGCATTATAGAGGCCTAGGAAGTCCTGTTTGGAAGGCTGCAGCCCTACTATCATGTTTATTCTGAGGTGGGAGAAAAACCACACTGAAAGTCAGTTTTTCTCCTCTTACTAAATGCCTGTCCAAAAAAACTAAAGGGATCTCCTACCTCTCGTGATCTATGTGCAGCCTAGTAGTCCACATATTGGCTAGTCTCTCCTTTGCAACACCCTTCCTTACAATGTGATGCTAAACCTGAAATTTCCTGATTTAGAGGTCTAGATTCGTAGTTTTAATTCATTCCCTTACCTTACATATTGTGCCCTTACACTGAGATTTCAAATTCAAGAACACTTGGTCAAGTTGGATAATCTGGTTCTTAAGCAATGACTTATCTGGGGCCAGAAAAAAAAGAGTTATTTTTGAACAACTTGCCTGTGAAAGTATTTTCATTATTTGTGTGCTGTTTATGAAGACCCTGAATGCAGTGAGAACTGTATTAACATACAGTACTCACCCCTCCCTCCCATCCACTCTATGCTACTGTACCTTTTGTTTTTAAGAGGGGCCAAATGAGTTATCGCCACATAACCTGCATCACTTCTATAAGATTAGCTGGAATGATGTGTGGGTCTTTGTCTATTGTCATCAAACAGGGCACTTGTAGGAGATATTACACAAGGAAAGCAAATATACCCATCTACTGGGTAGAGGGAAAGGGGCACATTTGCTATTCAAGTGCTGCACCCAAGGACATGGGTTAAGCATATTTTCTGAAATGATACTGAGCACAGTTTGCTGCCATCTGCACTTGTAGTTAAACTGTTTTCAGCTCTGATCTCATTGCCTGTCAACAATAGGCAAATTTCCTAGTATAGTTGGGATAGAGAGTACCATTTGGCACTATGTCCTAAATGTAAGGATTGCATAGCTCATTACAGGTCTGTGGAGGCATCCAGGTTTCCCTGTTACACTCGTATTAAATATTATCCACTACTATTTCCCTGTGAGGAGGAGATGTATGATTTCAAATCTTGTTCACCTTCATGCAGCACAGCAGGAGGCAGTAAAGTATGTTTCTAATTTATAGTGGAATTGTATTATATATTATGCAGTATAAACAGCATGACCTTTAAAAAGTTTTTAAAAGTCACTCCACATAATAGAAAATGAAGTACAGACTGGGCAACGACACAGGGAACATCTGGAATTTGTTTAATATTCATTGCGCGTGTTCTGTAAAAGTAAGTGGACATTTAAAAAATTTCAATTTGCATATTTGTGTCAGTGCAAATGTTGAATGCCTTCTGAGCAATTTAAAACAGAACAAAGAATGATTTAGAGCTTTACTTGTGGCTGATTATTTTATGATGTTTACATGCTCTGTTTCCATACCACCTATATCTAACATTCAGTATTGTGTGACAAGCTGTACCAACCACGCGTAGAGTTTGTCCTTTCCCTCCTCCACAAAGAGAGGCCTCAAACCAATGGAGCATAGAAGGGGAATTACTGAGTCTGCTACATGTTCCTCATCCAGCTCAAATTCAAAGGAAGCATCGCTATAGGGTCCAAAGTCCCCAAAGTAAGAAGGGTGCAATCAGGGAGTGAAGAGGACAACCTCACACTGCTGGACATTCTGCTCTATTTTTCACCAAACTTGTAACCCAAAACTCTTGAGTCTATATTAACCTGAGTAAATTCCCCCTCTGTAATGTGAGCTCAACCCATGAGAGTATGCACTGCTGGCACTGGGGAATTTCAAGATGGATGAAGAGTCCAATCTGTGCCCTGCAAATTTTTCCACAAATATGACAGGTGGTAGCTGGGTGGGGAGGCGGGGACAGCTGTTGGCCAGGATGTTGTGCGCTTTCCTTCCTCCTGTACCGTTTCTTGGCTTTCTGAGCAAGATGGTTCTCTTTGATTTTTGGTGCAGCACCATTGAGACCTGTTACCATCCAGCACTTCCCATTTTGTAAGGTTGATGCCACCCTTCTTAAGGTATGCTTTCAGGGTGTCCCTGTAATGCTTCCTCTGTCCTCCATGGGTCCTCTTGCCATGACTGAGTTGAGAGAAGAGGACTTGCTTCAGAAGACGAGTGTCAGCCATCCACACACAATGGCCAGCCCATTGGAGTTGATGTTTCATGATCTTTGTCTCAATGCTGGTTGTTAGCTGCAGAGAGGATGCTGGCACTGGCGCTGTTGTCTTCCCATCTAATGCAAAGGATCTTCCTGAAGCAATGTTGATGGAACCATTCCAGGCGCTTAAGATGGCTTCAGTATGTCAGCCACATCTCACACCTGTGGAAGAGCATGTGGATAACCACTGCATTGTAGACCAAGATCTTATTTTCCATCTTCAGATGGATCTGGTAGCACCCTGGCTAAGAATCACTGCACTAAATTTGTGTAAAATATACATTAGAATATATTGCTGCATTATAGTGTGCCAGTTGGGGAGGGTAAAGGTTTATGTAGTATGTTTGAAGCTTATTCTTTTCTCCTATGACAAAAAAAAACAAGTAACTGGATAATATATGAAGAGCTAAGTCCTTTATGTTACTCTTCATACAACATCCCCGCTCACTTCCCTCCCCAAAATATCCTGAATACTAAGGACTAACTCTGCAAAACACAGCAGTGGTAACATGTATCCACTGCTTGCAAAAAGCCTTTCTTAATGGCATCTCAACTGCAAAGCACTTTGCTCATGAAACATGTTCCATAAATGTTATAACCAATTTTATTACTATCTTCATACGGCATCTAGTGTTAGCATTATGTGACTTACAAATAAAAATTTTAAGGGAAGACATGGACATTTTTATTTGGAGTGAGGGAGAATACCAAATAATAAGCTCCTTTAGAAAAGGAGCAAAATCTGTCCAAATTCCTGCCCTCTGCCAAAGTGCTTCTTCTTAAACCCGTAGTCAGAACTGCTGTTTTCATTAAATGAAGCCACTACCCAGAAAGAGCAGAACATATTCCTGGGGAGTCATAGAAGGCAAACATCTGGGGATAAAAACTTTTTTTAAAGCAAGAGCATCTGCTTTTTGGGGTGGAGTGCAGAGAAGGAAATTAGCTGCCCCCTTTCATTACATCATTATCTAAAAGTTCAGCAGCATGAAATCCCTCCCCCTGCTTTCCTTCATGCAACATACAAATCCACTGATCCCAAACTTCTGTTGAGATTTTATTCGGAATACTAGTCTTATCTTCACAGCTATTCCTCACAGCAAATCTAATGCAGTGTTCTTGTCTCAAACCTTGCAAAGAAATGCCATGTTTTTTCATCCGTTCTGTTCTGGTGGAGACATGTATTGTGCTGTTGTGTGCAGTTTTTTTTTTCCAATTACCCTTGTTATAATTACATCACATATTACAGGGGAGTGAAGGCCTCACATTGCCATTCTACCAACAAGCCAAAATGAGATCACAGGTGAAGCAAGGATGGAATGAAGCATCAGCTACATGATTTACTTCGTACCCCACCTTGGAGTTTAAATCTCAGTAGTTAATCAAATGGCTGCTGACATCTACAGCAGAGCAGAGGTAATGGATGCCAGGGCCATTTATACAGCTCTACAATCAAAGCAGATCAAATAAGTTCAACAATCAAGAGATGGCCGATGTTACAACAAGACAAAGGCATAAAAGCCACATGATTTTTTAAACATTAAACATTTTTTTAACATTTTAAACATTACTTTTTAAACATAAAAAGGAAGAGATTTCATTCAAGATTCTCACAGGAGCTGTGGGGTGAATTTTGATGGAAAAGGAGTCCGTTTGTAGATGGAATGTGTGCAAGCTTAGTTCTTTAAAGTTAGTGGATTTATTTACAAGAGTAAGTGTTATGCACACAGGACCCACTGCTGGCATCTTCCCTTATATTCCACTCCCCCTTCAATTGCAAATACAGCCATAAAGCAAATGGGATAGTTTTGAAGTATAATATATTCAGTAAAGTTATACTAAAACAGGTGTCTAAAGCAAGGCATGGGCAGAATTTAGGCACCAGAATCTAAAACTGTGATTTAAAGAATAGTTCAGTTGCTGCCAAGACTCCCTGGCTAACTTACTTTGCAACTTTAGAGTTCCTTATGTACCTGGAGTAACATCTTCAACAAGTCCAGAGGTGGCCAAATACAATAGACACCTAGCTCGCATATGAGCACAATCAAGATCCAGCAACTAGGTATTCCTCCACCTACATTTCACAGGGACTTGTCTGGCAGGCACTCTCAGAACATACCTAGCACACACCATCAGGGCAGGCTTCCTGAAAAATGCAGCTGTGGCCACTTCTTTTTAAAACAGCCAGAGAAGGAAGTAGCAATGGTGTAGCATTCATCTTTTATATTGGAAAGAGAAAGGCAGTGGAGACCCACCCTTCATGGCTCTATACACGCAGAGCCATGGGCTCTGGTGCAACATAGGGCTGGCTACAGCACCCGAAAAAGAAGTTATTTCAAAGAAAGCCCCACTGCTCTGAGGAAGAGCCTGGACTCTATCCCACTTTTTTCTGAAAGCACATGACTCTCCTTCCTGGAGACACTGGGGCTAGGGACAGACTAACTGGTCAAGTGATCAAAAACTGGTTTAAACCTGTAACAGAACAGAACTTCAGTGCACGTGGTTCAAGTTAAATCACAGTCTCCCAGCATCCTAGCATGCTTTCCAGCCCTGGGCTCAGCTGTGCTGCCTTCTCCAGATAATAGGGCTGTCCCCTCTCCTCTGCTCCCTACCTAGAACAGTGAGGGCTCGCTGGCTCACTGCCCTCTCCCCACCCCCCAACAAACCCCAGCTGTGGTCTGGGGCCAGGAAGAGGGGTTACTCACCTTCTCCCAAGTACAGAGCTTCTCTGCCTTCCTGGCTTACTTAGTGCTGGCTGTGACTGTGGCCCAGAGACACCTGGAAGCAGGAAGAAGTAGTGATAAGCAACCCTGCAGAGTCCTGCTGCTGTGATTGTGGACTGTAAATCCCAGAGACCTTGGGGGCAGCAGGAAGAGAGAGTGAACACATAGCCCATGCTAGCTGTGTGCCAGAGAGCCATGCTTTAGCTCCTCCGGTTTCTGGCTTGAGCCATTTCCTGATTCAAAAGTGACTGTCTCTTCATTTTGCTTATTGGTTCAATCTTTGCAGCTTAAACTAACCTGCAAAGACTGACTCAATTCAGCCTTGGGCCTTTTGACTGTTGGTACTTAGCCTTGGAGGGCCCTGGGAAGAACAGGGAGCTCAGGTAAGATACAGTGCTACCAGCTGGATAATTTCCATCTGTTATCTGAAAGACTTCTTTAATAAATTTGTGCAATGTTATGGTTGGTCTTATTATTTTGTAATGATTCCAAAATGTCATTATTTTTATAAAATTTAAATTAATACTACAGGATTTTGAACTTTTCAATTTGTATTAAAATAAGCCTAATATCACTAACACCAATTTTTTCCTTTCTATCATTACTTAAAATGCTTCATATTAGGATATGCCAAAGTATAGAAATGCATGATAGTTCCGTGCAGCCCTTGGCCCTTTTCTGATTTGGCCCACACACAAAAAAGGTTGAGCACCATTGGGCTGGTGGCTCTAGCCAGCTGCTAAGCACACTGATCTCCCCATGTATTGTATAATGAGGTTACACAGGGTTCTGGATTCCACAACCAGGGCTAAGCCATAGCACATCTTCCAGGGACCTACATTCTTTACTGGATCTAACCAGTAATGAATGCGTTCAAAGCAGCAGATTCAGGTTTTGAAAGGAGCTTAGCAAACTCAGGACCCAATGTGTGCAGCATCATAGTGTGTGCTGAAAGATAAGAACCGGAAGATCTATCTTCTCCTCCCCCTCTGTCTTTTGTTTCTTTATCTCTGCTTGTCCTTTCGGTCACTAATAATGCCTGTATCCTGATGGTCCGTAGCTGCACCTGATGCCAGGAGCTAGAGAAGTGGATAGGATTTTCAAGAGCACCATTTATAGTTTGCTCCTGCAAGCTGCCAAGTATTCTCAGCTCTCAAAGACTTCAGTGACAGTTGAGGACTTCAGAGGAAGGTTAAGGTTTCTCTGTCCCAGGCAGGATAAATACCATATCAGAGCCCAGTAATGGTAATAACCACTCACAACATCAATGCTCCATCATTAACGGCTATGAATCTTTGTGAGATTGCTGGCATGGGCAAAAGAGTGAAGGTTATGAGGAACAGGCAGGGTGGCTTTTGCTTCTGTGAATTCCACATTTATAAATATATGTCTAAACCCTCATTTTCATGCAGAATTCTGAAGCCATTTTAGTTCTCAAGATGGCTTGCATATTGTCATACAGGCACTCTTTCAGTAAACTCAACTTTAGTATTTCCTTGGTTTGCATTGAAAAATCAGATAAATTATTACATTTGCAAATCTTTTAAAAAAAACAAACAAAAAATCCCTCTAGGTTTGGGGCTTACTTTAACACAGGTTGTTTTCTTAAAACATGAAGTGAAGCTGGTCTGGACAATGCACATCTCTTCCAATTTCTGGGTATGTGAAAAAAAAAAGATATACTGACATCAAATTATTTTGCAGCATGTTTCTTGATAGGCTTCTTCTCAGCAAAGGCTTCTCTTTATTACAAAAGACCTTGAGTTGTTTCAGTAAAATAGATTTTTGTTTTCATATCAATTTATTTCCAGTTAAAATTGCGTTTTGTTTGGATTTCAGCATTCTCCAGAATTTGCATTGTGCTCTCCCATAAAGCAGGGAAATAAAAGTGAACAGCAGCAAAAGCAAAGCCTGTCAGCTGAACTTCACAGCCAAGGAAAAATTATGTAAACAGCAAAGATGGTAAAAAAGTGAGGTAGATTTTTTAATTAATTCCATCTGAATTATCTTAATTGTACTTTGTCATGCATAAGGACGTCTAACCTGTTTGTTTATAGTGACTGATAAGCTTTTTTTCTGAAGTTCTCACCTGATATGACAAACGGCTGTTTTCAGACCCCAGCACTTTATTGAGCCAGCATAGCTTAACCAGGACCATGGCTCAGAACAGTTTCTTAATAATTTTTTAGTCATGACCAGCAACTTGAATTTGCCTTAGTAAAATGCTTTTTTCAGCTTACTCACTTATTAAGTAGGAAAAAGGAGTCTATCAGACTCATTTTACAAAAGGTCTCTTGATTAGTTTTATTTTCCTATGCCCTAGCTCTATTTTAGACTAAGCTCCTAGAAAAGCCCCAAAATGTTTTTATCTGGGGAATCATCCTACAATTTCATCATGGGCCTAAGTGAAGCCAAAAGAAAAACTCCAATTGACTATAGCAGCTTTGAATCAGCCCCTTAGAAAATATCCAGTTTCACAGACTGTTCTTTCAGACTGTCAACCAGTAACTTCCTGTAAGTTCTGAAATATTACAGCACTACTGTAATATAAAAAATACTATGTTTGTGACCATTTAAAAAAAACTTCCACTTGCAAAACAGTTCACCTGTCACTTCTCACAATATAACCACTGTATAAAGAGAAAAACACTTTTAAAAAGCCATCATCAAAAAAAGTGCACAGGCCAAATCATAAGAAGGACATCAGGCTTCTGTGTGGATCCATTCAAAAAAAGTCTTTGAGTGGGACTCCATTCAGGCTCATGTGGATTCAACCATAGGATCAAGCCCTATACAGAGGATACATATAAAGCAAAGAGACTACAGACAGTAGACTCTGTTAATTCCAATGTGCAAAACAGCTGCATAAGAAGAAAACTGGCTGCTTTGTCCATCTAGCATATTGGATAATGATGATATAATTAAAACACAGCTATATCCATATAAATCTGGTCTCTATTTTTATTGATATCATTTCAATCTTATGTTTCACAATAAAGCAACTGTTATGGGGAAATTCAAGCACTTTTAAATATCAATACCCATATCTCTGTTAATAATATATTTAGTTATTTAAAATATAAAAACTTTTTATGCTCTTTAAGACACCTCCCCCCCCAAAAAAAAACCCTTTTCCCAGTTCACTCAGTTTTGATAGTAAAATTGGGCTGATATAGTTCACTTTTTTGTTCAGTAAGTTTTACATAATTTGCTTTATTTTAATGCACCAGCCCAATGCTACAACGTTCAATTTGCTAACACCGTATGTAATGTGTAACTCAGAAAAAAACAATTAAAATAAAGTAACCATTAATTATAAGAACTGTATTCAATCCTTCATTTTAAGAGCTTTTTAAAAATCTATAAACCAAACTCTAGGTCATGAATGTGAGCTGGACTGACAAACCTAAGCCTCTACCCATAAATTAAGCATATCATGGGGTATTTTTAAGGAGCAAATTTTCCTACATTGTACTAGGAAAGTGGGGATACCAAAAACATCATCAAAAGTACAGGTCTTCATTTTAAGAAGTATGTTACTCCACAAGTTACTACAGGGCTACTTGAAGACTTTATTGCAATCTAGAGATACTGCAGAAGTCCGAATAATAGTGTTCATTTGTGAGAAAACCTTTCCAGACTGTTTTCCTGTTACAAAGTATCCCCTCTGGTCAGATATTTGCAAAATTGCATCTTTTCTATCAAATACTTAATAAAAGATAGGTGTTTAGGCCTGAGGAACAAGCAGTAGCTACATTTCTGACAAAATGCAAACAAGGAGGTGAGCTGACTTGTCAGAATGGAAATGCCAGCTAGCTTCTACATGAGTAGTGAAAAAAAATTAAATCACTCTTTACCAATCTGATTTTAGCATTCAAATTTGTTGAGATATGGGAATTTGTCCAGTCCTGCAGCCTAACCTTTAAAATTCATAGCAGTCAATCTAGTGACACAGATATTCTTTACTGAACATAACCAGACCGTCTCTGGATTTCTTTTCCTTTTGCTGACGAGTTGTCTTTTTCTTCTTAGCAGAATCTTTCTGCAGAAGACTTACTTCCTTTCTTAAGCCCATGTCAAAAGCAGAAGACAGTTTAACTAACCACTTTTTATGACTCGGTTTTATTTTACTGCACTTTGTCTGCTAGACAGGAGAATGGAACTAGCTAACATTCAGACAGCCCTGCAGGGGGAATTCCTTTCACACACAATGCCCTTCCATCTCTAACATAAAAATAACACACCTTTAATTTTTTTCAAAACAAATTTATTTTATGCTTCATGAAGCTCTTTCTGTCATTGTCTTCTGATTCATGGCAACTCAAATAGCCTTGACAAGTAGAAATGCAAAAGCTCAGTCACAGTGTATCGGATTTTACTGATATGCTGATAGTATTTATCACTGTAGCTCCTATTTGGATTTAAAGGATCTGCTCTTCCATCAAAGCCTTGGGATAAGGTTTTTCAGAGGACACATAAATCCTCAGCACATCTACTGCAGAACAGACCACTGCACATTTCATGGTAAGACAAAAAAAGCTCACATCTTCACAATGACTGTCATCAGCCTATTATTACAATAGTAATAAAGATATACCCAACATGTTAACTTACAGAATTACAACTGACTCAGAGCTACAAACAAAACAGCTGTAGAGAGAGATGCATTAGGAAATACTGCCTGATTTCTATGTGTACCTTTATTTCTCTCCTGGCAGCTCACGCCTTTGTGTAACCTTTAGAGAGAATTACTACTAGACAGATGCATGCCATTCTCATGAGCTGCTACAGAGGGTGCTGATAAGCCACACATTGGCTCATAAACCACCACTCGGTACTCCCACAGGAGGTCAGCATGCTGACACTGAATCCAAGTGCTGCAGTCTGTTAGGAAACCACTTCATGTCTGAAAGATGAGAAGTGCGGAGTAGATGGAACAGCAGCCGCATGCAGCATTCAGTAATAAAACACTGAAACTGGAACCACAACCACAAACTCACAAATAAGGCAAGGAATATGCTTCGGCCTGTGAAACGCACACAATTCTGCAGGATCCTGGGCTTTCTCAACTGCCACTATGAGCAATAGGAACTGATGGCATTTGGTGCCTCCTAGGATTTGCTCAGCACTGGCCCAAGCAGTGGAATGATTACATTTGGCACTAATAAGAAGACCCTTAGGAACAAAAGGGAAACAAATAAATGCTGAGTACTCAAAGCAGAGTGAGAGAGAGAGAGAGAGAGGGGCAGCCTCTGCCCACACCAGCACAGAGCCTTTCCTTCAGATCAAGGTGGGAGTCAGTCTCTCACTTAGTATTGGCCAGGCATGCTAGCTAGAAAGAAAAAAATATCCAAAAAGCTTGCAGAATTGGGGAAGGTGATGATGGCACAAGGGACATTGTCTTCACCTACTTTAGGATCAGATTTTGCTTATTTCTGTATAGCTCTGTAGTGGGGGAATGGACCAAGGGTTTCCTTGTGACAGGTCTGGCAGAACTGCAGACAGTGATGCAGCACCTTTAGCATTCATTTCCCCAGGGGGCTGCAAAATGCACAAAGGACATGGGAGGAATAGGGTCATGTATTTGCCAGTCAGCCCTGCTGCCAAATGCACACTAGGGGGGAAAGTGAACCTCACAAAGTAGTTTAGCTTCTAGTATCAGTCTCTGCACCAGGAGGCACTATGGGCTGCAGTAGTTCAATGCTTCACCCCATCACTACCCACACCCCTAGCCAACAGTAGCCAGCCCCAAAAGCCCAGGGCTACCATGAGCAGGCAGTTAGTGCCTCACCTCTGCCCACCATGAAGGTTCTTTCTGCCACCACCACCAGGAGGGGGGCATGAAGCCATACTCCAGCTGCAATCCACCTGCAAACCATGGCCTCCACATGGGGCTGGAGGCAGAAGGTAGTGGGAGCTGACTCCCATCCCCTAGGGCTGTCTCAGCCTGGATCATGTTGCTGCAGTGGGAGGGAGCAGTGAGTTGGGCTCAATGATTAGCTCTGGTTTCCCCACAGCCCTCCTTCACTCCCTCTCTTTCCCCATGGCTGGACCCACATCAGCATCAGCCCTGCATGCATAAGCAGAGCCTATTGGTGCCTGCACTGCCTCTCCCACAACACAATGGCAGAATTAAACACCACCTTCCCTTCATGCTACTGAGGTCTGGCCACAGCCCCACTTCTGCCCCTGGAGCAGCAAGCAAGTTAGCAGGGATGGAAGTGCTGGAGACCCCGGGCAGGGGCTGCCTACCCCTCCAAGCACACCCCAGCTAGGGACCGTGCAGGCCAGGATGGGGGTTTATACCCCTCCTCAATCACACTCAGGCCTGTCAGGGCCTGGCCATGCCCCCCAGCTCAGTTTCCCTTCAGCCAAGGACTTGCTCTAGAACCCCCCCCACCCCCCGGCTTCTTGGTTCTCCCAATCAAAAGGGAATGTCTATTCACTTGCAAATCAGTTCAATTGACACAGGTTAGACTAACCTGAAAAGACTGAATCAATTCAGGCTCAGGCTTTTTGAATGTCTGTAACCTAGACTTAATCCCACTGGAGGACTTCAGAGTCTCACAACTTGAATCTATAAGCCTCAACACCGCTGCTATAAGATGGGGGAAATGAGGGTTGAACTGACTTACCAAAAGGAACAAGCTTGTGACAAAGCCAAGAATGGAATCCAGATCTAGTGACATTAAATTTCATGTTTTACCTACAAGAGAACTGGCCTTTTCTTGAGTGAGAATCAAATGGATCTTTTGATAGACATAATATGCAAGTAACAAGAGTTAATTACTATGACAGAATCAATGAAAAACTAAGTTTTAATGAAGTATTGGACTTTTTTGCAGACAGAGATGCAAGGGGGATATCACTGTTTTCAGCTTTTATACTTCTCCCTAACCATGACATGCAGAGATGCTTCCCTGATTTTGTGAAATGCCTGTAAGTTAGTATGTGCAATGTACTGTAGAGTTTTGAAACTTGCTAGGTATAGACCTGGTTATAGAATAATTTAATAAAAAAGGAAACCAGTTTATCTTTTTTCTATAATTTTCCTATGGCTTCAGGGTCTTATTCCAGTCCCCTCCATATGCCTAGAGAGGTGGTCCTAATATTCAGTATAAAATGTACAGATTCCCTAAAGGAAACTCAAAATAATTTTTCTGCTTCAAATTCAAACCTGACTGTACACATCACATCAGGGGATCCTTTTTATCAGCAGGATATTCAGAAGGGATGAATGATTTACTCACATAATCTCTTAAACCTTTCCCTTTCAGAGTTTAGATAGAATTTATGGCATTTTTATCTGTTGGTGCTAAAAAAACCCCAGCAAAATTCCTCTATGAAATCTGAAACCTTAAACATCGATTTTCTAGCTGATGAGATTTCAAAGGAATGTGTTCTGCTATGACAGTCACAGTAGGCCTCTGCCTTAGCTTTGGTATTCCCCCCTATTCCAAATCAGAGAATCCATCCCTAAGGAAACATGTTAACTAGATACCTTCCATCTTCTGTGTTTGAAAACACTGAGGATTTGTTTTAACCTCCCACAACTTAAGGCTGCATCAAGTTCCAGGGAATTTATTCCTCTCATTTCTTTTGCCAAATAGAAATAAATTTATATGAGAAGCCTAAGCAACTAACAGCTTCATTCTGAGTTTTAACCTAAGTAATCAACTCTTGAGTTAAAGATGATGAGGATAGCAATTTTTACAACTGACATTTGCCTAATGAAATGATTGTCTATTGCAGACAAGTGACATCAGAATTAAACCAGAACTAAATTGCAATTTTTCCCCCTGCCTCCCTTTTAGAAGTCTTTAAATCTTTCCAATGAATACTATTTTATTAAATAGATTAGCTGTTTCTAAGTTGTGCTTAGACTGGCTTTACACTGGTGTTAAATTTTAATGCCTACGGAATCAGTTCTGAATTAAGGGGGTGTAACTAAAATCAGAAAGAGCCCTATTGATTTGAAACTCATTATTTTTTTCTCTTTTTCTGAGCAGCTGCTTTTCACCATCTTTTCATTTAATGGTTTTACAACACTGGGCATGTCTACACATGTTATTAATGTGACTGAATAGACTCCAGCACTGTTCATACCAGAGTTTATTGTTTCTGGGTACTGTGTTTACATGTGCACTCAGGACTGCACCATGTTGAGCCTGGTCAGAGCAGCCCCAGCTGGCCAGGGGATGTAGGGGGTCAGCCTGACAGCCCAGGGCTGCTTCTACCCAGCTCAACATGCTGCAGAGGGACTGGCTGGGGTATGAGGGTGCTCCATTGTGGGGCTAGCTGACAGGTAGCCCCCACACTGAATCAGCCTCATGCCCTAGCCAGCCCTATCAGCATCTACACATGCATTGCAGTGCACTAAATAATGCTGCCATAGGATAGTACTTGTGTCGACAAGTACTATCCTTTCGTGGGGTTTATTAGTTTCTGGCATCCTAGTAGGGCTAAGACTTCATGGTGGAGCTAGTCAGCTCTGCAGTAAATATCTCATGTAGGCATGCCCACTTAGTCCTTAGTCTAGGACTTGACTTCTTAAGCACTACAGTAACACAAATCAAGAAATAATAATCATACTGTTTCTTTATTTGATTTAAAAAACTCTAAGATATAGGAGCAAAAATGTATAGCTAAAATGGCAATGAGTCCACTATAAATATTTACAAGAATAAATCTGAGATTTATTTCTGATCTTATTGAACTTGATCAGAGTTGTTCCCCTAGAAAGGGCACACTCTACAAACCACACTACAGGAGGCTGTTCCTACAGGTAGCTAAGACTCAGGTTTGTACTGCATGTATCTGAATGTCATCCCAAACCATTTTGACACAAAAGTCCTTCCATTTACTTTGGTGGCACACATCCAAATATGTATCTGGGTAAGTAACAGCAGGATCAGGCCTGTAAGAATTAAGATAAGCCTTTGTCAGCGAAAAAACACCATAGTTCCATTTTCATCAATGGAGCAAACTTTGTTTCTATCAATTTAAGATTAACCATATAGGATCTAATGCTCATTTGGTATTAATTAGTACTGTTTTTTCAATCAGTGAGGGAGCTGTTCCATACTTTTCAAACAATAGTGGCAGCATCTTAGATTTGTAATTATCAAGGCCTTGCTTTTCTATATAATGACATCCAATCCATCCCTCTGTATTAGTCCCGGATAGCAGGGGAACAACATTAGTTACATAGTCATGAGAGCCATTCATACATTATGACTTGCTTGTTTACTTCTTTCTCTAGAAATATGCTCTTCACTCCTTCCAAAAATAATCTGTCTAAAGCACAAACTTGTCAGCTACACTGCTGTTCTTTCTCCTGTTACTCAAACATGAGTGACCTGTGTGATCAGGAAACAAGAGCAAGACCTTTTGAGAAAGTACCTCAAACCTCATTGTACATAGTTAAGTTCAAGAACAATTATGTTTCTAAGTCCTGTGGAAAGCCTTCCATCCCTTCCCCATAAAACACTAAGCAGGACCTGGGAATATGTCAGGAGAGAGGAGGTGCATCAGAATAGAAAAAAGAACCTAAGTAGGAATAGGAGTAGGAGAGTCTTCCTGGTAGTGGTGGCTTCAGCGGGACTATGGAGAGACCAGAAAGGGTAAGAAGACTCTTTGGTAGCTTCCTTTGAAGTAAGAGGTCACTACTTAACTGCGTAGGCCTCAGCAGGCATATCAGATGGTTTAAAAAGAAGCAAAGACTCTGTGTAGGATGGTCTCAGATGGTCTGGAAAACATACATTTTGGGGTGTTAGAGTG